ATCTGTCGTGGTTTGTGTCTGAACTACCTGAAAAATACATCTCAAACGTGGTGGTCCAGTGTAGGTAGTATTCTACAATAAGCTGTCGTAGTTTGTGTCTGAACTACGTGATGAAGATATCTCAAACGTGGTGGTCCAGTGTAGGTAGTATTCTACAATAAGCTGTCGTAGTTTGTGTCTGAACTACCTGAAAAAGATGTCTCAAACATAGCGGTTCAGTGTAGGTAGTATTCTACAACAAGCTGTCGTGGTTTGTGTCTGAACTACCTGAAAAAGATATCTCAAACATGGCGGTTCAGTGTGGGTAGTATTCTACAATAATCTGTCGTAGTTTGTGTCTGAACTACCTGATGAAGATATCTCAAACGTAGTGGTCCAGTGTAGGTAGTATTCTACAATAAGCTGTCGTAGTTTGTGTGTGAACTACCTGGAAAAGATATCTCAAACATGGCGGTTCTGTGTGTGTAGTATTCTGTCTCAACAGGCAGACAAGGATGGCTTGGTAAGCTGCTGCAGTACCACGTAAACTGGACCCCACGTTTGAGATGTAAAGGGAGAAGCGATGCTCATAACATGCACCCGATGGTGATAAAACGTCAAAGATCAAGTTTGGATTCAAACATTTGTGATATTCCTTGAAAAACAAAACAAAATCTGAATTTCTTTTCATTTTCAGATTTTGACGAAAACATGTCTGAAGCAATGAATGAAGAAAAATCAGAGAGTGCCGACGAGGAAACGAAGTCCAACGAAGGGAAACCGAAAGAAGACGAACCTCAGCCGAAACAGGACGAAGATGAAGCGAAGAGTGACGAAAGTCAAGTGAAGGCTGACGAGGAGAAACCGAAATATGATGAAGAAAAGCCGAAAAGTGACGAAACTTCTTCAAAAGAAGACGAAGACAAGCCGGTAGATGTCGAAGATAAACCGAAAGGCGACGATGCCCCTGGGACAGAAGACGAAGACAAGCCGAAAAGTGACGAAACGTCTTCAAAAGAAGACGAAGACAAGCCGGCAGATGTCGAAGATAAACCGAAAGGCGACGATGCCCCTGGGACAGAAGACGAAGACAAGCCGAAAAGTGACGAAACGTCTTCAAAAGAAGACGAAGACAAGCCGACTGATGTCGAAGATAAACCGAAAGACGACGAAAATGAAGCGAAAACTGACGATACAAATGAAGGCCATGACGAGGCTTCAGCAGAAAATAACGAAGATAATGCGAGCGACAAAAAAGATGACGAGAAAAAAATCGATGAAGAATCAAAAGACGATAGCGATAAAAAAGACGATGACGATCACAGTGATGATGATGAAAGTACGTTGTGAGATGGGTGAATTATATCAGGCTTCACATCGGGCAAGAAATTACTTGATTTGCCTTTCTACTGCAGTCAACTTGTCTGATGTGGAGGCCATTCAGATTACCGTCCTCTGATATAAGAAAGTTGTGTCGATTCTAAATGTTTGGTTTCTAAGGTTATTTTTTGCCCATATTTGCGTTGAGCTGACTCACTCCTCAAGATGGCAAAGTCTTTTTGCGATAGTGAACAATAAGTATGATATATTTTACTTTTAGAAGCAAACAGCAAAGAAATACAGTATGGCAAAGGAAATAAGGCTAAAAATTGGGGTGTTCACTATCCCCACCATCACCCTATTCATTACCCCATCATGTGGCCAATTGATTACGGTCATGGTTGGCCATGGTACCCAGGGTATCCAGTAGTCGTCCTCCAGCCACCTAAAGGTATGCGTTCAAAGATCAGTTCTTTCGCCCATTGAACTTTCTAACAGAACTGACTTTATTTATGCTGGATAGCTCTATCAGTTCTAAAATGTTCTCCCCAGAGGTCCAGTAAGGATCATCTCTTATTGATCCAGTGTTACTACAGGAGGAAACCTAAACTAAACTGACTTTATTATACTGGATAGCTCTATCAGTTCTAAAGTGTTCTCCCCAGAGGTCCAGTAAGGA